CCGATTGAGTTTATTCGATTTGAAAGTTTTCCAGTAAAATGCATCTTTTTTTCGATTTCTTCCCCTTGTAGATCCTACAGAATTTACTATGACGAGATATTCCAGTGTGGAATTGGAAGTCACAAGTGCACGATGTAGAATGATCTTGCCTTTGACCTTGCCGTTCTGTATGTATGTTTGTGAAATGGAATTGAGTTTTAGTGAACATGAAGTATTTAAAGACGACGTATATATATTTGGAGAATTACTTCATATCTTAAATTTCCGGATGGCAAAAGGTGCCGGTGAAGGACGAGTTTTAGCAAAGAAATGATTTCCTCGACGAACTTATCAGCATCTTCATTTTATCATCAGGATGAAGTGTCCACTGATAGCAATCGTTTTGTGATATGATGTACTCAGTGAATTGTGGTCTTAAAAAACTTCTTAGAAACTTCCGGTTGCATATTTTTCTTTTATTTTAGTTCTCTGTAAATTCGTCATGATTCACTACCAACAAGTGTTTTTCAATTTTCAATTTCTCATTTGTATTTCGTTAGAACAAACCAACATGATGATTTTTCAAAATTTTTTTTGTTGATGTCTCATCATTGCTTCTGGCTTTATTTAGATCTTTCTACCTTCTGATATTTGATTCTTTTTTCTGCGAAGAAATGTGATAGTGATAAGGAGTTTGCTTTGTTTATTTTTATGATTTATTTCAACATATCGGGATTCTCAAATTTTGCATTAGGAAACAGCTCTAAATTATATTTCAGTAAAATCGTCGAAAAAAGTATTTTTTGGAAAAGAATTCTAGAATGTTGGAGCATTGAGTTTTAAAGTAGCAAGTTCCAATTTCAACAATGAAAAAAATCATTGCTGTCCGAATTCCTTGACTTGACATAGTTGAGTTCCAGATACGGCTGCTTTTGATCATTTATCCGAAAAGCTTAATACAATGTAGAATTATGAGAAATTCCGAAATTTAGGGACAATTGACTTTCACTTTAACTAGGTTGTTATTTTTTTATTGATTGGTCATCCACGTGGCTTGTATTTTACTTTTACTAGTTTTTCGATATGGTGAAATCATTAAATGCAGGTAGAATTTCTGAGAGATTTAAATTCTCAGAGTGTCCATAAGTATATATATGATAAAACCTTATGAATTGGTCCAATCAACTAAGTGGAGGAGAAAGTATTTATTTTTGAGTGTAGTTTTCTGAATACACCTCTTGATGAAATTTTTTGAAAATTTTCATCAAATGTTTGCAATGTTGGTCTATTTTTTTCGAAAAATTTCTTCAGGATTTGTTGATGTATTTGAAAGGACCGTTACTATTGCTTTAATAGTAGTTATCCAAAGTTTCTTTTCTTTTATTGTGATTTATACCGTATAATATCAGTTTGTGTATAATTTCATTTGATACGCTCTGCTCTCGACATATTGATCAAAGTTTTCATATCGGAGGTCATGCAGTCACATACTTCCCATTCTTAGTTTTGCATTATTATCTCAACACTCATCTTTAGGTCGATAATTTCAAATTTATCAGTTATGCAAACGTAGCTACCCTTTTCTTACGTGTAACGATAAATGAAACAAACAGAAAGGGGAAAATGCACTTTTCCGAAAAAATGCCCTTTTCCGGAAATTTGCAGGATTAAGAAGAACTAACCAATTCTGAATGTATAATATTTTCGTTAATTCTAACACAGCAATGGGGTTTTTTCATAAAAATTTCACTTGAACTAGATTTTTTCCTTACTAAAACTTCACTAAAATTAATTTGGTACTATCTGAGAAGCTAATTGTTAAACATATATTCAGAGTGATGTGAAAATTTCAAATCTCTCTGAATAATTGTAAATATTTCGTAAACATATAGCTCGGTTGGGGATGAATTCTCCACCAAAATCACTTTTTTTTCGCTTCTTGAACAGATGATTTAGAAATTTCTTCATTGATGATGTCAATCAATATGTTTTGATTAATACTTTGATATGGTATTGATGAAGGATTTAAAATAAAGCATGGCGAGATAAGTAAACATTTGATAGTTTAAATTAAGTACAATAAAAGGGTGTGATATTGGTCATCGACCAAAAGGTATATTTATGTCAGCTAACTACGTGCATTAGTTTTTTTTCAAGAAAATTTGTAATCTTTCACAAAATATCGTATTCCGAATTAATTTTCTCCTCATATCAACTAATTGATTTCTTAAACAAAACTTCCTTCTCCTATATCAACAGGGATGGATTAAATATTTTTCCTTATCAGAGTTATAGGATATTTTCCTGTACTGATAAAGTGATAAACGCGCTCTCTATAAGAATGATGGCAATTGTAGAAGTCAGCAAGCTCGATATATTTCATGTTATTCAATTAAATCATCTTTAATATTTTTCCATCTCTTAACCAAATTTTTATCATGGTCCTCCTGTCTTTGCTAGGGTTAGATATGAAATTTTAATTTTAGACAAATCAATTTTGGAAGAAATAATGTCATCATTATCATGATTTGAGTTTTTACTTTCAAATCAATTAAATTTTAAATACATTTAGCAAAACTTAATACTACAGGATTATGGATAGTGACATCTTTTGCTTTTCTTTTCATCAAATAACCGAATATATTTTGTAATGCTTTAAATATCTTCCTATTATATTTAAATCATACAAATATGAATTCTTTTCAAACTAATAAAATTTAAATTTATTTTTCAAATCAAATAAATTATTTTTTTCTCTCTAAAAAATTCTCCTAAAATTTAGTTGCTATTACAAAAGATAGACATTAAAAGGAGTGGAAAGATTGAAGCGACTGAAGAGAGAAACATTATTTGATAATTACTATAGTTGGTTTTAGCATTCAAACTATTTCTTATTCCGCTAACTTTTTCAGACAGAATATTTCATTAACAATGGAAAGCAAGCAGTATGCAAATGTGTAGAAGCTTTCGAGATTGCAAAAGAGTTAATGCACAAGCTTAATTTCAAAAAGAAAAAAAAAAAAGACGAGCTTTAAGTATTATTATTATTATCTCTAATGAAATGACCTCAAGTGATAATGATAGTGATATAATGCAATATTTTGATAAGGAAAAGATGAAATGAAAGTGGATATGTGATAAAGAAAAGATGAGAAAGAAGCTGTTCTGATTATGGATTCTGAAATGAAATGAGAAGTGATTCAATGGTCATTTCGATATATCGCTACATCACTTCTTGTTCTTTCATCATTTTATTCTACAACTTTAATTAATGATATCGGTGCCAAATTTATCAGTTAAATAAACGAAAAAGTTTCTTATCTTCTTTTATTATTTTCTCACTTATCAATTTATATGGCAATTGGGATTGTGGAATCTCTTACAAGTAGTGCATATATTTAAAGTAAAAAAGAAAAAAAACTTATAATTAAGTTTGTGAAATGCATAAGTTCAGTTTTGCGAACGAATTTCAATCTCGAAATTTGCTTCCCTTAAGCATGCTTTCCATCAAATTCTACTGCTTACCTTTTTACCTTTTTTTTCTGAATCTAATTTTGCTACTTCTGAAAAATTCGAAATGAAATGAAAATTTACATATTTTTTTATAACTTTCCATGTTTCATTATTAATTATTCTCACTAAAATGCAAAAAAAAAGTGCTTAGGATAGATGAATGCAAAAGTGATGATATGAAATGCAATGGGAAGTTTGCTGAAATTTCCGGATTGCTATTCCGTTTTCCATCTCATACGCATAATAGCACTAGAACAAACGGAAAGTAATCAGTTTTTTTTTTTGCTAGACAAAATTTTTACTTTATGAAATATTTAAATAATTCAACATCTGAGGATTAATAAAGTAGCTAATTAAATGCAATTAAGGATTAATGTAAAGACAATGGAAAACAAAGATTTGAAACGAGCCATCATCTTTTATAGTTTTGGATAATTAATTACATTTCAGATAAATTAATCTGTAAGATAGCGTAAATTTATCGATTGAAAATCTAGTCAAATGATAAATTGAATGCAATTATCATTTTAATGAAATCTGATTCATACTGGTAACGTTGATCGTTATCAACGTTATCAACCTTTTCAAATTTTGAAATACAGCAAGTATCTTAACATTATCACTGATAAATGTGTTGTGTGTATTCACTGATATATTTCACAATCTGAATAAAAAATTAATTAATTTGATCCAGGGATACTTCACAACGTGATTGTTTTTACTACGGCAATATTAATGCCTTTTTTTTACTTAGCTCTTGTCCACTTCAATTTACTAACTTTTAAGTCTGAATTCAAAATTATAAATGTGCATACTGTCAGATTGTGATATTTTGAATTTAACAGTTATGGATTAACTTTTGCATAATGCGTAGTTGTGGTATATCAATTTAGTAAATGTAAGTTAAATTAATTTTATTTCAATTCAGTAATTTTCTAATTTAGGTACCATTTTGCTTAAGCTATCAGTATTTATGCTTCAAATTAACTTTCCCTAACAATGCTTAATTGCTCCAAGGCGCTATCGTACATTTTGCGCAATTTGTCGAAAAGATCAATACAAACAGCTATTAAACATTTACAAAATTAATTTATCATACACTTTTGAACCAGTTTATGAAACCGGTTTTTTCTCGCTTTTTTTTGTTATTGAAACTAATATTTCTGATTAAAAAAAAAGATTTTTTTAATTTTTATCATTTGGTTGATTTATTAGAAAACTAAATCAATAAGTTAACCGGAACAAAATGGTTGGTATCATGAGGCTGTTCTGGCTGTTTCAATCGTTGCCTAGTTACAGTTGCTGTAGTAGGAAAAGTAGTAACAGTAGTAATAATATTGAAGATAGTAGTAGTAGTAGTAGTGGTAATATTTAATAGTCTTGTCAATATTGTCCTCTATATTAATAAAGGCGGAAAAAACAATCCAATAATTTATTTTAAAGTTTAAATATATAAATATATGTAAAATATGATCCAATATGTCCAGT